ACTGATCATTTTTGCATCTAGTCACACTGACAAGCTTGTGATGAACAACTTACATGAATCTCTGCTATAAGTTTGGGTAATATAAGAATGTCAGTAAAGAAATATTTGAAACATGCTTCCACGTATGAACTAAGTTACACAAAAGATGTAATTCCATGTTCATCGATACAGATCCTGACAGATCTCTTGGCAAAACATATTTGACTTGAATCAAGAAAGAATATACACTGAAGATTGTTGTTAAATTAGCCAGAACACAGTATGGTGGTTACACAAGATTTACGCTGTCTGTAGAGAAGTATAGATGACACTCATCTGGCATAAAGTCAGGAAAACACAGAAAGACAACTAATTCAATAAAAATTTAACTAGAACAAAACTGCAACCTACTAATTTTCAAATAGCACCATGTGTTTGTATTAGCTACATGCTTTTCATCTCATGCTGTTTTTCTTCTGTTGGAAGATGCTCTAAAACATTTATGTATCCTTCAACTCATACAGAATCATAGAATGATATCCTAGGGACTGAATCTGATCTCACTGGTTAGAAGGGTGTCCTCCACAAACCTGGTCTAAAGTTTGTTTATGGTTAGTCATAATGTCATTAGTAGTTTCTGTTTATGAAGCCAGACATTAAAACAAATACCTTTATTAAACCAGATTCACAGAAATCAGAACATTCTCAATCTCTTTCTAGTAAGATGGCAAATGAAAGATGATGGCAAACGAAACAAAGGGTCCCCACACTTGACAACTCAATTACTGCCAAGTATAAAGAGAAATTTTCTAAAACTGCTCTAAGTAGTTACTAGAATTTAAGCATACCCTGTCTTCAGATACCTTGCTTCATAGTGTCAGTGAATTTATGTGGACATAAATCCATATGAGTTCATAAAGTAATTCGTCTACTGCCTAGGACAGCTCAGGAATTAGCAAGAGTGTGTCTGGAAACTAGCAGATATCCAAGGATAACAAGGAGACAGTCTGAATTCAGCAGGCTTGCCAATGAGCTGCAGAAAACATCAATTCACTATTACGTGCATGGCGTAAGCCTTCAAGTTCCAGAAAACTGAAAACCTGCTTCATTCTAGGTAACATGACAACTTGCTGCAGCACAGCACAGTGACTGCCAAACCTGTTCTTAGCTTCTGCTGTATTCCTCTTGGTTCTATAGAGAAGACTGCCTCCAACACAGCAACCTACTGTCTATCAACTGACCTCTAGTTCTCACAATACATGCAATACAGGAACCTCTGTGCAAGTAAGCTGTTCCAACAGGAACTGGAATACAACAATTCACACTACCACCACCCCAAAGAAGGGTGGTACTCTGCCACACTCGCACATGCAGATCCATTGCATGCATTGAGTACACATTCTGATCTCCTGTATGACCAAGGCATTCCACTGCATGGGCATGCCAGTGACAATGTAGGGATTTCAGTCAAAACTTAAATCAATGCCAATTGTTCTAATGGTTTATCCTTAAATTCTTTTTTTTTCAATTGCTACTTTACAAAATACAGGCCTCAACTAAGGTTGAGCTTCAATGTTGAAGTGAAATCTCAGCTTCAGTGAAGTCACCAGAAAAAATTGCTACTACTTTTAAGGAGCTCAGCCCTGTATTCTGTCATATGAGATTTTGTTGTATGAGATCCACATGACAAAAGGCAGACATCTACATCCAGGTTAACCATCTAGCTTCCCTTGATCATCATGGAAGCAAAACAGACACTTTTTAGCTCATCTTCTCCTAGAGAAGACACCTAAAATAGGTTGACTGATTTGTACCCAAAAATGCATTTTTTACCTCCTCAGGCTGAAACAAAGATCTAAGTGACACGCTCTGTATTGCAGATATCTAAAATAAGCAGAAAGAAACCCACACAAAAATTTATTCTTGGTTCTCAGAGGAAAACACAACTTGTATAAATGGCACCAAGCATACCACATACTACAGACTGCTCTAGAAAACACCAGAATACACAGTTATTCATCACTCCTTCACCAGGAAGGCTCCAAATATTTAGATACCAGACAATGAGACAGAAAACTGGAAACATTAACTATCCATATGGCCAATGAGCTGAAATAAACTGCTCAAATAATTTTATCATTTTCTCTGGAGATGCCATATAATTAGCACATTTTTGATCCTGTGTTGACTGGTAACTGATTTTGTTGTTTTAATAAAGTTGCTTCAGTTATTCTGTATATTTTCTGTACTGTATCACAGACTTTACCATTCCTTTACAGATGAAATACAAATAGAACAGGTACTTTCGCTTCTCTGCAGTTTCAATATTCTAACTGTACTCTTGTACTCTTTGCTACAACACAATATACTCACTGATTTACTCAACATCACCTTTCCTCTGATGTGTCTTTGGTCACTTAAACAGGAGTTAAGTACTCAGTCGAGATAACTTTCCCATATTTCCACACAGCTTCAAAAATCTGATTTCTAATCTGCATCCTAATTTTCACCTTGCCTCCCAAAATTAACATTCTATTTGTAATCTCTCAACTGATTTCCCAGCAAGAGGAGAGGAAAATCTTGTGGCCTCATATGGCCTGTCATATGCTACAGTACATTTTTTCCCTCGTCTTTTTGACAACACGGGTTGTTCCTAACACTGGATATTGATTTGACTTTAATTTCCTTACTGTTCCTAGTTTAATTATCTCACATAAAACTATATATGATATCTCCCACCATGCCTTGAAGATCTGACTACTGGCAGATGAAAGTACCTCAGTAAGACACAAGCAGCAGAGATACAATATAGAAAAAACTAGATCATAAACAGTAATTCTGAAACCGAAAATTGAATACGCAACTATCAGATGACTTTTTTTCCAAATAAATTAAAACTCTTACCTAGAGCTCTGTCAGAATTCAAATATATAACATTTACAAATTTTCTAAGGAAAAAAAATGGCAAATATTGAAAGTATGTAGCCAGAGGAAACCTTTCCAGTTACTACCAAGACCACAACTTTTGCTGAACTCTATTCAACAGAATATATTTCAGAAATTTATTGAAAGACACTGCAGTAACTCCGTAACACCAGACTGTTAAAACAGTGCAACAGGACTCTCACATGGAACATCTGTGGCAAGAATATGCATCTTATACAGCCACTGCTGTGCTTGAGCAAATTAATCCCCTACAGAGTCACTGTTTCCATCTTTCTCCTTAGGGTGAAATGCATAGTTTCACTTTATGTATCTGTAGCAAATTTCATTTTCCAATGTACTGGTATCCTTCTACCATTTTCTAGATTAAATAACTGTAACAGCCTGGTTAGCCTTCAGTTCAATGAAGAAAGAAAATGCAACATAATCTGCATTAGGCAGTGAGTATTTTGGAGAAGAAACTCGATTTTTCTCTTACACATACCCCCATGTCTCATAATCTACAATATTTTTTCCAAGACCTTGCTTCACTCTTCATCTGTTCTTACTAGCCAGGACTGAAGTATACAATGTCATAGTGACAAGTAACAACTTCTGAAGCACTGTTAACCTTCATTTGAACAAATACTAGAATGCAAATTGAAAGAAAACTTAAAATGCTTCAGCTGTGACTTACATAGTATGCTTATAACTGGTATTTATCAAACAAATGCAAGGTTATGGTTCTAAAGATTATACAGCTTCCAATTCATATCAAAGCTAAGGGGTTGTAAAACGTTTTGTTTTTTTTTCAGTTGATTGAACAAGTTGTCTTGCTGATAAAAGAACCACATCTTGTTTACAGCTTCCTTGTGTCAAGAGAATCCTTGCTGCTCCTCATGGCACTCTGCGAGACCAAGGTGCTGTTTTAGTCCAGCCCCGTGCTTGCACTAGTCACTTGCACTGAGTAGACAAACAGAATATGAAGACCAGGCTTCTACCTGCCAGTAAAAGTACTTTTCCTCTAGCCAAATATCTGCTTTCACAAAATTTTTAAGAACCAAACACTTTTTGATACCTACCCCTCTTCAAAATACAGCTGAAAGCTGTCAGTGAACTAAAGACTCAGTAGAAATTACTACTCCACAGACTATCAAACAGCATGGTTGTTTTAAGTGTCGTTTCCTTCAGAAACCAGGCCAAAATAACACTCATTTCAGACCCTGTACCAGAGACAGTGTGAAATAAAATAAAAAAATAAAAAAATAAAAAAAAAAAGAAAAAACAGTAGGCTGAGGAAAAAAGAAAAGGAACTGCTACTGAAAAAGGTACCTGGAAAATACACCATCTCCATCTATTCAATAGTTTATAGTATACAGAATGCATTGTTTTCAGTCAATTATAACCCAAGATTTCTCTTCATATTTATGGTAACGACATAACAAGACAGTGAATATCTACTGTTTATATCTTGATTAGTCAGTAATCTGCAGGTCTAATGCAGAATCAAACAATCAAGTAATTATTCAGATCAGTTCACCCTGGGTTTAATGAATCATTTTCATTTTCTGCAAGAAAGAAGTTTATTCTCCTTCAAGAACACCAGATCTATTTTATTTCCCATCACCAGTTTCAAAACATTGCTCCACATTTTATGTTAGTTCCACAATAGAAAAATATGCACTGATTGTAAAATATTTACACGCAACTTATTCAGTAAGTTTCACTTAAATGAGTATTAACCTAAAATTTTCTTTATTTTTTAATTAATATTTATCTCTAAGATAACTAGATTTTAATGCTTAATCTTTTTTCCACACACACAAAAGTTTCCTTAATGTTGGTGAACCAAAGCGCAAAGAGATACCCTTCCATGAGGAAAACATATACATAAAAGATGCTGGAATCTTCCCATTTCATCCCAGTCCTCATCGCTAATAGAGCTGTACACTTGAATGAGAACAACTACAGGGAAAACAATTAAAGCCACTGGTCAATCTGAAACCTTTCTGGCAGGACTTAATTAACAGTATAGTATCTTTTAAAAATCTTGTTCATCATTTATTTTACAAACACAAAAGTCCAGAACGTGTACTTACTTCAGCATGTGTAAATAATGCTTGTTCAATGTTAGCACTGCATTTCTCCTTGAGATCTGGTGGGATGCTTCTATTTCTTATTTGGAAGTGTGTTTTACTAAGATAACCATCACCAAGATCCTGGGTTCAGAAAACAAGAAAAAAAAAATCTGTAACCAAAATTCTAAATGCTATCACTGTTCTAGAAAATAAAGAGAGCATGATATTTAGGTGTAAACTCCCAGGTCTTTTTATAGTCACCAATGACTGCGTTGCTTTTCAGCATCTTCTCCCAAGTAGTTTATACTAGCTGTTGGCATTAAAGGAAGTCAAAGACCTGAACAGTAAAAATAAAATTTTATACAGCTATTAACTGAATAGGACAACTGCTACCTGGGAATCAGGATATGCACCAAACAGGAAGTCACTGCACCAAGTTCATGAAGAGATGAGCAGATATTTATGATTTTGACCTATTTCTAGCAATGCATACTTGCCTTTATAAACTTCCCCGTTCTTGCTAGATTGGTTTCTTTTTGCTCTGTTCCCCCTCTAACATTCTTAAAGTCCTAAAAAAAAACAAAACCCAAACAAAAAAAACAATCCAGCAACACTTCAGAACATGTGTGCAGTGTCACTACTTGCTCCCTTCTCTTTATCACCTCTGAGGGTCAAATGTAAGAGAAAAGAGACAAGGCTGTACCTTATCCCAGTTTCTTTCTTACCATTCTGCTTCCCAGGCCACAGGGTCTACTCCTGTAAAAAGCCCTTTTGCAATTTCAGAGTGGCAGGAGACGGTTTTAGGAGCTTTCTCCCCTTGCTAACCTGGCTGTCTACACACATATAAAAACATGTATTTTTTTTTTAATTAGAAGCAAGAGGAGAGAAAAACTTTAGTAACAGATCACTGGAAAAACACTCTGAAAGGGAGAAAGCGTATACAGAACACAACAGTAGCTGCATGTTAAAAACTTGTTTCTCAAAGGAAACAAATAAATAGGGGTTTTATTAGCTGTTTCATTACATTTTATTTTAAAGAAACACAGAAAGCATATGCACAACATCTGATGAAAAAGGATTCTATTCAGAACAGTCTCTACAAAGTTCATTAATGTAGCATTAAATTGTTGACAGGGCTGCAAATTTCACACTATAATTTAACTCTTTGGTTAATCTGTCATTGCTGACACAGTTTTATCTTATGTATTCTGACCTTTAAATCAACACCAGTTTTATTCCAACACATCAGTTCTCTCTTTTTAAGGATACTGTAGAATACATGTACCTCCAAAATCCACTATGGGCTACTTGTTCACTTTGTTCTCACCAAGTTTCACACATTAAAAATTATAATGCTCTCTACACCTATTTTTGCCCATGAGTTTTTAAGCATGAATTATACTATGTTTGTATATTTCATATGCACACACATATACACCGTTTGTATACTTCAGCCCTGGCTTACAATTTTTCCAACTGCTTGGCCTATTTCGTCACTAAGCCTCACTTTGCTGGATGTCATGGGTGCAGAACTAAACTGCAGCCTGTGCAATGGAGAACTGAGTATGCAGAGCGCAACAGTGACAGAAAAATTAACACTAACTCGCCAGTGCAGCAGCCACTTCCCTCAACCTCAACACTCTCTGAAGTCTCTCCTTGTTGAGCTTCATGGGGAGTGTCAGCAGGATTACAGCTACGTGCACAGGTATTCATCCCCCTAAGAGCAGCAAAGAAACTACTACGGCCACCCACTGAGGTAAAATGCCCCAAGGCACAGTGAGGTTTGCCAGAGAAGGGCTGCTTCACTGAAGCATTCACCTCTCTGAACCAGTTCTTCCTGTCAGCAGGAAGGAGCCAAGCGCCACAGCCTGTGCATTCTGTAGCATTTGACTGCCGTGAAAAAATACCTATGAACAATTGGATTTAGCCGTCTCTGTATTTGATAGCCGCATGTCAGAGGCTAGAGGAGAGGTGGCAGGGAAGAGAAGCAACCTTCCTTTCGCACCCCCTGGTGTGATACCTGTTTTGCACCCTTCTGCCCCTATAAATATATCAATACTTTAGCAAGGACTTTGATCTCATTAGTGAGGAAAGGAAGCTCATTTCTACTCCAGCTATCCTTTGAGTATCATAAGCAAAAGTGAACTGATACAGCCCCTGATATGATTATCTAGATTAACCTAAGTGAGTAAGTCAGGGACCCAGACTGAGTACAGTATTCAAGGTGGAGCCTGACAAGCACTGAGTGGGATAATGGCATCTTTATCTCTGCTTGTGATGCTCTTGTTGACTGCTTATGACTGTCTGTAGCTGGGAATTTATCGTGCCTTGTGTTGTTTCCCAATTTCCAGGCTGCCAGAGCTGCCATGGGAGAAGGTAGAGAAAGATTCTTCACTCAGGACATCAACAGCATCATACTGGAGTAAGTGCTGCTGGGAGAGAAGAGTGAGAATAAGAAACATAAAGCAGAAAGCTAACAGGGGGCAGCTTTCACAGCCAAGATTTAACCATCCACCCCTAATAACAGCACTCCAGTTTAGCTTCATCAAGTCCTACAGTAGAGGTGCTCTTGGCTTTTTTACAGCTTTCTTCTGGGAGAAAGAAACAGATTATAAAAATAACATAGTTTAGAACATTTCACTTACAGCTATAAATACATGGTTCTGCTTGGGCCATGTGAGCTTATGTCACAAGAGCCAGATCCACAAAAACAATGAGTATTTCATCATGCAAATTTAATCTCTACAGAAAACTCAGGAACACAAGAACACAGTTCTACAAGCCTGGTTTACTTGTGTGGTCTTATTGCTATCAATGGGTCTATTCACATGAGTACCGAATGAGGAATAGGACCCAAGTGCATTACATCAGCAAAACTAAGAGTGCCCTGAACTACCCACAATGCATACATTGGGTAAAAAAAAAAAAAAAAAAAAAAGGGCAAAAAAACAATGGGACATCTTGTTAACGACAAGCCAAGCTTCCTTCCCAGACTACGTACTACATAAATGGATGGTCTCAATGGCCAGGTTTTTATCACACTGAAATCAGAGTCACCAACTTGACCCATTAAAAAAAAAGAAAAAAACAAAATCTCTTAAAATTTTTTTCATAGGTAAGAACAAAATTCTATCTCATTCTGCTATTTTCAGCAAAGCCTCTTATTTCACAGAAAGCTCAAACTTTGACCCATGTATTAAATTCCCAATAGAGGCTTAGAGCATTCTTCTTTGTTGAATAAATCCTCACAAATACAGCCTTGGACTGAAATCTAAAGTTTCAAATGGCTCATTGTAAAAAAGGGTTCACTATAACACTTAGCTAGTATTTGCACTCTTTTAAAAACTTCTAAACAGAGTGTACCTAAGGCCAGAATCCTGCTTCTTGCTGAAATTCTGTTAATTTGTGATTTACAAATGCTAATGTACAATTGCCACAGAAGTGATGGCATGTATTTACTGCAGGACTTACTGCACTTCAAAATGGTAGAAGCATGATTTTTCTCCTCAAAATTCATGGAAGCATGCAAAACCACTAAATCCATTAATGTAAAACACAAAATCTAGAGCAGTATATTTTCTACAGCAAAGAGAAGAAATACACAGATAATAATGAGTACCCCAAAGTATCATACAGATACAGTCAGAAAAGCAAAACATAGGAAAACCTGTATTGCCCACACATCAAAAAAAGTGGGGCAAAGAGACATCCTAGAACAATGTGGATTCATTATTAGATGGAAAATAACAGAAGCAATCAAAGTAGAAACTGCAACTACTCAAAATATTTCTGCTCTTATTTAGAGAACAAATACAAATTATGTACCCATAAACCATAACTATTAAGAAGTTTTCATTTCAGTGGTGGGTAAGCAGGACATTAACATGACACGACTATTGTTAGGTATTTTTAAATCATTACATAAGAACTGCTGATCTTTAGGTTTTTGAGCATTGTGGAAGCTTCAGAGAAGCTTGGATAAAGCCAGCATGTATCAATGTATCTTTATATACTGGCTAATTTGAGTAACTGTACACATATTCACGTACTGAAGTCATCCCAACCAAAAGAACAGAAGACATTATGTAGAATGCAGTAAATAAAGAAAAACATACAGTACATGTAATTATTTTGTAAGAAAAATAGGTTTTATCACAGTAAAGACATGTTTGCTTGATAAACACAAACAATACATGCTCAGACTTCTGTAAGAAAACTGCTAATTCCACAAGTGGAAATTAAAACATTAAAATAATCCCATGCTAATCTGACTCCCACTAAAGGATGAAAATATGATTAATTTCACAGATATCAAATGTAACTTAAAAAAATGGGGAACCATCATATGTGATTCTAATGGGGTCCTGTGGGACTTGTCCCCGTTATTCAAAATTTTGATTAATGACCTAGAAACAGTATGTAATTATTATTGGTGAGGTTTGAAAATTATGGGGAACCAGCAAATAAGGAGGATTGATCACTTATACAGGTTTTTCCGCTTGCTGTATGCAACTAACACGTATTTTAATGCAAAACATTAAGTCACACATTTAGAGTAAAAACTATGTGCTATTTCAGTTTACAGGGTTAAAGTGATCCTTGGATACATGACCACAACCTCTTGCCCAGAGTAGGAAGGTTTGAATTTCACAATGATACAACATCCATTGTCTAGTTCTGCCCACAGCTGAAAAAGGAATTTTATATATTGGACAGGATTCAGAGGAGATCCACAAGAATGGTTAAACTACTGGAAAACATGTCAAATAGTCAGGGAGCTCAACATGGTTTGCTTTTACAATTACAAGGTTCTAAAGGATCTAAAACTAAAGTACCAAACCAAAGAGAATTCTGATGAAAAAAGGGTGCCGGCTTAGAAGACAAAGGTACAGATACCAGTGGCTGGAACACGAAGCTAGGCAGTTAAGATTAGAAGGAACAGCTTCTTTTTTTTTTTAATTCACTTTAAGCATAGACAGCCACTTGAAAGTCTTCTTGAAAGCTGTGACTGTTTTTCTAACACTGGGAATTCTGAAAACAAAGACTGCCTAATACTTTAAAAGACATTTTCAGACCAAAACAGAAATCATCTTGGGTAACCCTTCAAAGTTACACCACAAAGTGCAGTAGTTTTTGGATTCACGAACCCTATTCAACACAGATAACAGGCCTATATCCTCATGTAAACCATCTATACACTATTTTGTTCTTGGACAAGCTGTGCAAAATACCATTTATTTCATATGTTGAAATAAACTGCCCTCAAAAAGGATGTTCCAGCTTGTGGCGGTTGTCAACACTTCAAAAATGACAGAAAGGGTATCTAAAAATTAACATGATTATTTTACCTTGCTAGTTCTCCACTCCCAACCATCTCCTATCCGCTGTGAATGTTTAATAAATTCTTCACAGTACTGCTTGAATCTCTCTTCTTCCAAAAGGAAGTCCTCTTCACCTGATGTCCTACAGGACATCTGCAGAGCAAACTAGATGTTAGTACTGGCACATAAAGTGAACACTAAAAACTTTCACTCGTTTCTAGCAATTAAAAACAACAAAGCATTGGGAAGGGCAGGAGGAGAAAAAACAGGTTCTTTAAAATGAAGACAAATTTCTTCAAATACATTAGAAAATCAGACACACAAAATGGCTGAAGTTGGTATGGACCTCTGGAGATAATCTAGTCCAATCCCCCTGTTCACAGAAGAATCAACTAGAGTAGGTTGCTCAGGACCATTTCCAGTTGGGTTTTGATGATCTCAAAGGCTGGAGATGCCACAACCTCTCCAGAAAATCTGTTCCAGTGTTTAATTACCACAGCAGTAAACAGTTTGCTGTTTAAATGAAAAAAACTATGTATCTGTTGGTGATCAACGCCTCTTGTGCATTCACAACATAGAGCACAAAAAGCCTGGCTCCCTCTTCCTTATTCTCTCCCATCAGTATTTCAAACTGACATTTCTCATCTCCAGGCTGGTAAGTCCCAATTCCTCAGCCCTGCCTTGTATGTCAGCCATTCCTAATCATCTTTGTGGCCCCTCACTGGATTTGCTCCAGTATGGCACTGTCTTTCTTGTACTGGAGAGACCAAAGCTGGATGTTTTGACATACATTTCCTTAGCAGCATTGCACAGCCAGTGACTGTACTGCATGGAAGAGGACTACTTCCATAGGCTTACCACCTTTTTCTTGGGGAACTGAATGGCTCCACAACACCTTAACAAAGTGTTTGCAGATCCAGAACCTCCACAATGGCCATCAGAGCCCCGAAGAAGCAATTGCTCCTGCTCATGTCAGCATCACAGCTCTCAATGGCCCAACAATGTGCTTCAGGGGGTCCCAACATGCTTCGAATGAGCACCTTCCCTTTCCCTCTTATGCTTCCCTCCAGGGTCTTAAAGGTAACATAAAAGCTTCCAGAGGATCTTTCCAATTTTACTTTTTTTACCCTCTTTCAAAGAGGATTTCTCATAAACACAGCCAGTTTACAGACATCAGGCATCACTGCAGCACCAAACTCAAATACTCAGTTAACTATTACATGGTTTTTCTTAACAAAAAAAAAAAAAAAACACAGAGGACACAGCACCTCATGTTATGTTCATATTTTTCAGGATCTGGCCCACAATCACAGTGTCACCCTGTCCACTCATGACCTAATGATTAGTCTCGCACTTGAAAACACCTCATTTTCAATGGTAGCTAACTCAAGCCCCCCTTACCCTGTGACACCCGGATGCCAAGAAAGAGGAAATGTGGAAAACAGGCAGGGTAAAGGCTTCTGCAGTTCTCAAATTTCCCAGTTCAGATGATGGACCGCACAACTGCGTCCAATGTAAAGGGAAGTACAGCTCTCACACACGTTTTAAGCAGAGATCACAGAATCACGGAATGGTGAAAAGGTTGGAAAGGATCTTAAGATCATTTAGCTCAATCCGCTGTCTTGGACAAGTGGTATATGCTTTGGAACATTAACAGCTGTGAAGTGACACCAGGCTGCTGGCACTCGCGCAGCACACTTTTCTTCCCTACAATAACCCGAAAAGACTTAACAGCGACGAGCAAAGCCGAGTTAGCCAGCCGCGCCTGTTCAGGGCCCCCCAGGCAGCAGGGACAAGGCAAGCCCCGGCCAGGCCGGCCCCTCTCCTCCCTGCCCGCCCCGCCATGTGGAGCCCCTCAGGCCCTCCGCCGGGTGGTGGTGGAGGGGCTACTGGAGGGACAGGCAGGCGGCGGGCCCCGGGGGGAGCCATGGGCAGACCGTCCCGCCTGAGGTGAGGCGAACTGAGGCGAGGAAGCGGGGAGTGGGGGATAGCTGCTCCGCCATACCGCCCTCCACGTACCGTACCGTACCTCCGCCTCCCGCCAGCGCCACGCTCCCAGCCTGCCCTCCGCGCACGCGCGCCGTGCGGCGGACCGCGGCCGGCGGGAGGGAGGGCGCGGTAGCGCATGCGCGGCTGAAGGTGCTGGTCTCGGCCGCGAGGTACAAGGGGGGTGGGGTTTAGTCTCCGTGGGTGTTCGTGGGCGCTGCCCGTGTGAGGTGATGGCTCGGGAGCGCTCCCGGCTAGCTGCCGGGGCACCGGAACTCTTGCCCAGTTCCATTGTCCGCTCCCTCCGCCACCGTCAACCGTACTAGCCCCGGGTTAATTCAGACTCGCTGCCTCGCTCCAAGAGCTCAGCAATGACGCATCTGCGTGTGCCTAATCGGTTTCGCTGGCTTCACCGCCGTTCTCTCCTTACAAGATAAATACAAAATGTTACTAGTTCCCCCTAGTGAGGAGGGGGAAACGCAGAATTGAAGTGGCCAGCTCATTTCTGCACTGTCTTGGAATGTAACATGGTGGATGAGTGAAGGAGTATCCAGTGTGGTTATCCATGATGAAGCAAGGGACTCTTCATCTGGGACCCTAGTGATAGGACAAGGGGGAATGGCTTCAAACTTAAATGGAAGATTTAGATTGGATACAAGGAAGAAGTTTTTCTGTCTGAGGGTGCTGAGGCCCTGGCATGGGTTGCCCAGAGAAGCTGTGGCTGCCCCATCCCTGGCAGTGCTCAAGGCCAGGCTGGACGGGGCTTGGAGCAACCTGGTCTAGTGGAAGGTGTCCCTGCCCATGGCAGGGGGTTGGAACTGGATGAGCTTTAAGGTTCCTTCTAAACCAAACCTGTCTGGGATTCTGATTCTGTGGTTAGGCAGCTGTCTGGGTGAAAACAAGAAAAAATTAACGGTCTCACCAAAATACTAATCCTGAGCTACTTCCACAAGATGCCTGATGGGTGTTGTTTTACTTTGTTACCCAGCTGTGTTGACAGTATAATTGCTTTTAGGTGTGAAAATTTGCCAAGTGCACAGAAGCTGTTTTGCTACACAAATGTTAAAATACTTATTTTTAAAATTTACAAGTCTATTAAGCCATGCATCTTTTAGTGGTAAGGTCTTGTCTGGCATGACTAAGTCATCCAAACTGTAGTATGTGCAGAAATCCAAATATCCAAACTGTGGTTTACAGTATATAGTATATAGTAATATATCTGGATGGATGAATGGAACCCAAAATCAGAGAATACTTGGAAAAAGCCCTTAAGATCCTCAAATCCAACTGTTAACGTAACATTCCCAAGTCCACCACTAAACCATGTCACTAAGGACCATATCTACATGGTTTTTTAATTACCCCCAGGGATGGTAACTTCTCTGGGCAGCCTGTTCCAGTGCTTTAAAATGTTGCTTTAAAATGTGGGGTTTACCTATTTAGCAGGAAACTGCCATTTTAAAGAGTTTTGTGATTTGCATTTAGAGTAAATGAGCTACCCCGTGAGCTTTGGAGACCATACTGCAATGGAGAACCTCCACAGGCAAGCGGTGTTTTGCTGTTGGTGGTAATGTGACACTCTGCAACCATGGAGCTCCCAATTTGATTGTAATTTGCTGGGTGTGGAGAGCTCACAAGGCCCAAGGCATTTTGTTGGAATATTCCTGAGGTAAACCATTTTTCTTTGTACTTAAAATTCCATTTACTGGATTGTGGCTGTTAGTTAGAGTTCTTCAAATATGCACTGTGAGTCATATTTAAAGATAATTTTCACAACTGTTTGTGAGCAGCGAAAAGTTCTATCCAAGTCTGTAATATTCAGCATTAGGTATAGGTCAGCAAAGTTTTGTTTTGTGAAATTATTCTGGAGAATGATTGTATGATGTGCTTTGAATGGATCATAGTACTTCCACAGATTGCTATTTTGACTACATATATTATTTTTGAAAGCAGCTACACAGCTTGGGTTATGCTATTACAACCACAAGTTGTGATGCTGTAGTCATTATTTAATCATCAGAATTAATTATTTATATTGTTATTCACTGATTCTTTTAAATGTTTGGGCTTATGAAATTTGGTAAGTAAACACTCTGTTGTCATCCAACCCTGAGTTTTAAAGGAAGGTTTTTACATTGTGGGATTCTATTCCTTAAACCATTTTTTTGCTAGCAGAAAATGCCTGTGGTATTGAAAAAATGTCAAGCAGTGTGTATTGCCTTGGAAGCTACAGCTCCTGATTTCTAATTTTAGCTTTGTTACTGTCTCTCTGGATTTTCTTAGGGAAGAATCATCAAGTTTAGGGCATGGCTCATTTTAAAAGTGCATGATAGGGCCCTAATTTTGCGCTGAAGTTAGCAAAGGAGTCACCATGACTGGCATCTTTTAGGAAGCTAAGCCATAGTTTCCATATATTCAGATCTGTCTACTCTGATTCATTTACTTTATTTAAAATTGTGAGCATGCAGTTGCTATAAAAATCAAGAACATGCAGCAACTCGGATTTCAACACTAGTGGTCTTTTTTAAAGAGTATAGGCTTTAGCCATACCATCGGAGCATCACAAATATTATTTATGGGCCTTAAATTGTAATTTAGTAATTATGTGTTGTTAAAAATAATGAACAGTTTACCTGAGTATCTCCTTCCAGTACTTGCTGGTGAGCCTAACTGACTTGTGTTATGAAAGTTAAGGTCTGAAGCACTTAGCTTTGAAAAACTGTTAGTATCCATATGTTACTGCTAACAGAAATTCCATCTCTCTATATAGACAGTATACTCTACTTATTATAGATGGGTTCTAATCCTGGCTCTGCTATTGACAAATTTGGGCTGTTTCAGGTTTTTTTGTCTGTTTCCCTTTTTGTCTGTCTGCAGAGCAGATCAGATTCATGGAATATTCTTACAGCATCTGGTATCAGCTTGGTCATCTCCAGTATTGTTGCCAGGGTGTTTCAGGAAGTTGCAGTGAGTGCCAGTTTATCAAAGGAAATGCATTTGCTGTAGTTCTAAAATTACTTGACAAGAACTCCCAACACGGGTTTCTCTCCTTTCTCTTCCTTCTTTTGCCTGTACTCTGAATCAGTGCCTCAGGTTTCCATCTCATCTCTGCATACAAAGGTTTTAA